TAATTCAATTGACTGAAACATGCTTCTCCTCTTTTACATTCAGATCAATCTACGGAGTTTTCCACAGCAAGCAGACCGTGAAGGGAATCACACTCTATCGTTTCACAGTTCCTCGTGAAGCATTTGCATCCCCTACGGAAGTTGCAGACAACTATTGTTTCTGTAAAGATAAAGAGATATCACAGAACTGCACATTAGCTGGAGTCCTAGACATTAGTTCCTGCAAAGCAGGTATAGTAGTGACAGAGTACTGCCAAACAAGCCATTTCACTAGGGAGAAAGTATGTGTCCTCTAGCTGAGGTGTACTCTAAGATCCAAGGTGTTCACGTTTGTGAATTCTTCTACAGATTGCCTGTGGGACCTTTCACATTTTGGCAGCCTCATTTCCCAAAATGAAGACTATAATATTTTTGTACTTTGTATAGTGCTATTCAAAACTCTGATACTACAGATAGTATAGTGAAACCGTAGGAAAGTATCTATATAAAGGAAAGGAGGGAGCACTGTATAAAAGCCTGAGGTAGTCACAGCCCTTGTATTTGTGATAATTCACATGCATAGTGTGTGTGCATGTGTGTACAAAACTATATACACATGCGAAGACTGAGAAATATTACTAGCTTAGTTTAGCATTTAGCGTAATAAAATAAATACACATGGAGTCTGCATCTGGTGATTAGTTTATAGCATGGGTTCCCCTCAGTCTTGCTTTCTACTAAAGCAAGATGATGGAGGTGGAGGGAAACAGTGACAGCCAGGTCCTCACTTCAGCATGAAACTGGGATCACTGCCAGCTCCACAGTATAGACACAGACAAGCAGGATTTTTAACTACAATTTATTTCACCATGTAAATTTTCGTCATTACAGTAGAAATGCTCATTTTTTGGGGGGGTGGGTGGGACTATTAACGTTTTAATCAGGATTGTATGTCTATATAAAAAACCCCACATTTGCATAGAAAATTACCTCAGAAGATGAACACTGAAGCAAAGTTTGATAATTCAAGTGAGTTTGTTCTTTCAAATAGGAAAACCGGTATTTATCTCTCTTCCGCATTTTCTTCATGCAAGTGATGTTATATTGCATGATGTTGAAGGCCTGAGCCCCAATGAAGAGGAGCATGAGACATATCTAGATATAGAGCCTGTAAGTCCAAATATTTAATAATTGTAACTCAGTAAACTTGCAATGTTTAAATTTAATTGTAGTAGAGTAGGATTTTTACCAAAGGGATGAGCAGAAGATGCAACATTTTCATGCTTGCTTTTGCAAGATCTGCTCACAGAAATGTCATGGTTTTAGCAGGGGAAATTTAGAGCAGAAATTTCTCTCATTCTGACCTTAAAAATCTGGAAAGTATATTTTGATTCTTCCTTATTGGGAATGTGGGCTTTGATAGATTCTGCAAACCAAAGC